GCATGGACGCACCTCGATCATCCTCACGCCCGAGACCCTCATCCAGGCCCACAACGCCCCTTCGCCCCAGCTCGCGCTCTTCAATACGGGAGGCCCACGGATATGGAAACAGCATTGGAAATGCAGGATACACACAACCCGCCTTCAATGCCTTGGAGCCACAATTCGCCGAGCTGGCCGATTCGATGGCGGATCTCGAGGCCAACTTCATGCACTTGCAGCTGATGCACGAGAGCCTGACGCGCTTCAGTGAGAGTTTTGCCAGTTTTCTCTACGGATTGAATATGAATGCATTCTGCGTGGATTTCCCAGAGGTATGGTCGCATATGCGTCGCCGATAGTGGCGGCAGTGGTGACAGCGCGCAACAGGTTTGCTGATTCGTTCGATACAGGCTCCGATTTCAGACTCGTTCAAGAAGGCTAAGCAGGACGAAGAAGAAAAAGGTATTGAGAGGGCTGTCTGTGGGAACTACCTGTGGTGAATCGGATTTGCTAACAGCCATCCAGAGGCGGAATCGGAATCAGAACCAACACGACAGGTTGATGATGGCGAGATGACTTTTATGTGAGTCCAGAGAGCGATGCGACAAACCCCTACTGGAGGACACTTGAGCTAATGGGTTCTCACGCTACAGGACCACGGACACTACTTTTGTTGAGAATCCGAGCACGACCCCATCCATTAGACCGACGTCCGGGTATGCTGCGGGCTCACGAACATCGTCGCGTGGCACTACTCGTGGTGCAGCAAGCAGCCGGTATACTACACGAGGCGCTGCTCGAGGCGCTGCTCGTGGCACTCGTCCCAGCGCACTGCCTCGGGGCAGAGGGATTGGGACTCGATAAAGAGCCGGATGCTTGAGCGCTTACAATGGCCTGCTCATGGACAATCAGTCCATGCTACATGTTTGACTATTGGCATCCAAGAGCTGGATCTTCATGTATAGCTTCCGCGGCTGTTTGGCAAATCTGCCTTTTATGATTCACTAGAAATGACGAATGAAACTACATATACCATGTCACCCAAAGGTTGTACATTGAAATCAACTCTGTATAGTTAAATAGCTAAATAAATACTTCTCATAAAAAAAAAGGAAATGCTGCTTCTGCCAAACTGTCCGATCTCTTATCCGGCGGTAAATCGGTAAATCGGGGTCAGGCGAAAAACCACCGCCCGATGGCGAACCTCCAACTACTTTTGAAATCCTCAACTTGGCCCCCATTCGTCGTTAGTTATTAGACTTTTATATTTATATTACCTGAATAGAGTCCTAGTGTCTGGACTTGGTTGTGACGTCGAATCTGGTCATTCGCAACCCTTGGTGGACTGTATAACTTCCATTTGTCTGCTATTGTCCCTATTCACTTGCTTTCGTGAGTTCTATTGTTATGCTCTGAGCATACCATTGATACTAATTTTTCACGCAGTGCAATGCTGGCCCTATTCATGGGGAGTCCTTGAGGCTATACCTAGTCTCTTTATAACCGGCCTTCCTCCCTTGACTCTCTTTCAGCCTCTTGTCTCCACGTGGATAGAAGTCTGGAACTTCTAATAACGTACTTTTTCATATATCATTGCTTTGTACTTCTGATCAACCCTAACCCTCTCCCTTCGACCCTATCTCTTTTACTCTCTCTTTCCCTCCAACCACACTCATGTCGCTCACTATGGCAACCCTCGATTCTGTCCAGCTTCTTTCTGAAGCTGCATTTGGCTGTGGTAAGAGTTGATAATTGCCGTGGCTCATTTAGGCCTAGCTGACCTCTCGTTAGTACATCTTGCGGCTATCCTCTCCAAGGATGAGAAGACTGCTGGCCAGTTCAGAGAACAATTCTGCAAGCAATACAAATTGCTAGCTCCGTTTTCAAAGACAGACACCGTTGCTGTTCCAACCACTGGCCTCCGGACTGTGGAGTCTCTGAAGCCAAAGTATCACTGTTTGACTTGCGCAGAAGTATGTCTGAAGTCCAAGCGATCGGAGCATACTGCAGCCACAGGACATGTATTTTGTAAGCCAATGGTTTCTGACTGATTGAACTACTTCGTACTTACAAAATGGTAGACCTCGAGTCTCGAAACCGCTTTGTCTTTTGTGAGAAGTGTGTCGATTTCATCTATGACCACACCCTGGACAGACTTCGTGGCCCTTCTGGCAAGTTTGAAGCCCTCGGTGAGTCTCGTGAAATTCCAAATTACCTTGCTCATGGATATCTACTAACGTTTAGTAGATGGGCGATCCATTTGGGCCGAAGACTCGGCCTCCGAGGTCTACGTCAAGAACAATGCCAACAAGAACCCATGCGCCATTCGCGGCGCTCGTGGCGTTTGGAACATGGGTCAAACGTGTTACCAAGCTTCTATCTTGCAGGCCATGCTGCACGACCCTAGCCTCACTGCCTATTTCCTGGGAGGTGGCCATGACGTCCACACATGCACGATCAAGGACTGTCTCGCCTGTGCAACAGCTGAAGTCTTCATGGAGTTCAATAGCGCCGAAAGAAATGAGTCAGTCTCCGCAGCCCTGCTGCTTCACCATGGTTGGCAGAAATCTAAGGTACGTCAGAGGTCCGAGTTGAGCAACAGAACCGGCTAACTAGATTACAGGACATGGCTGGATACCGCCAGCAAGACGCCCACGAATACTTCCAATTCCTTGTCAACGAACTGCACTCATCCACCCCCGGACACGTGGAGAGCTACGAAAAACCATGCGAGTGCTTCTTCCACCAGATGTTCTACGGCGAACTTCGCAGCAGCGTCATGTGCCACAAATGCGGCCAAACTACCAACACCCACGATCCCATGGCCGATCTAAGTCTTGATGTCCAGCTTCAACACAAGAAGCGCAAGCTCGGTCGCTCCACTTCTTCTACCACTGGAACTCTCCTCGGCTGCCTGGACAGCTTCACTGCCGCTGAAGATCTCCACGCCGATGCTGCTTACCACTGCGAGAAGTGTGGTAACACTCCCCAGCGGGCCTCGAAGCGCCTGCTGATCCGCAAACTCCCTGTTATGCTTTGCATGCAACTCAAGGTTTGTTTGAGTTTCTGACTGCCATGAAATAAGATTCCTATGCTGATATTCGTATAGCGTTATGAACACAGCTCTAACTCTTCTGAGAAAATGAACGGTCACATTGACTTCCCTCTGTCGGTCAACATGCTGCCGTACACGGTCAGAAAAGACAACCTTCCCGTTGACATGTCGGATTACATGTATGACTTGTCCACAGTCATCGTCCACCAAGGAACAATGGACTCTGGGCATTACTATGCCTATACTCGTATTGACAACGACAAGGTTCGTTTCACTGTAACCCTCATTCTGTCTGTGCCTGTGCTAATGAGTTATCTTTATAGTGGGCACTGATGGATGACAACAAGGTCACCGTTGCCGGAGTGGCGGATGTCCTCCGCCAGGATGCCTATCTTCTCTTTTATAGCGCCCGTTGTATCCGGGCTGAGAAGCCAAAGAAGTAAATTACTTGTGCACAGATATGCTTTCAATTCAATTAATATGATTCATAATTTGGCGGTCACTTATTTCCTTTGCATATACTATACTAGTATTATACTGTACTATTGTACTATTGATACCTGGACTAAAAGGTCTACCCATAGGAAAAAGGAAAGTCTTTTTTAACTATACTAGTAGAAGACTCTAAAAGATCCACTGGATACCAGCTAATTATAATGAATAAGAACACACTTCAAGTTTTATTCTTCTACAGCTACTAGATCGGTTTATTTAGTAGAATAGATTATTGTGTGTGGTTTGACCCGATAGAAATCCATGATCATCGCCGAGAAGCCTTTGGTGAAGGATTGAACTGGCGCAGAAAGTGTGAACAGGGTATAGACAAATGACAACTAGGTGCTAGGTAAAGGTCGGGAGTGGCAGGATTTCCTTTCCAAATTTGGTTCACAATCGGCAGATGTCCCTGTCTACATCGAGAAGAATAAAACACTTTGTAGGTTTTCCCCATTATCGAGAGCACGGTGTCATCCATCCCTTTTGTTCTCGAAGACCATCACAGCCATTCGACGCGACCTGAAGACACCAGTGCCGTTCTTACACCGACACCAGACATCACCATCATATGTCAGCTGTCCAATGCAGTGTGCGAGCGTTGCTGCTTGTTGCTTCTGATTCCAAACACCACCCACCCACATGGGTGATACCCTCGAGTACGGGGACCCTCGCCAAGTTCCTGGGTGGCTTCAACAATTTGGACAACAAGGCTGATTAACTAATAAATAGCTAGTGGAAGCCCAAAAACCAACGCATCTATCTCAGCACAAGGTGTACATCCATATTTTTGTTTCTTTGTGTTAATCGCCACGCTTCTTCTACACTCTTCTATGGCTGCAAACGGTAAGATGGGACCTCTGATGAGTTTCCTGAGTTTATCCTAATTATCCCGAATTTATCACTGATTTGATATTCTATAAAATCTCTATCTTGGCCTTGTCCCGAGTCTCATATTTATAGGCCAATTATTCCTTGACTCCGGGGAAGAAGACGCCCGCCGGTCTTTGGGATCGGATGGAGAAAGCGACAGAGAACATTGTTTCAAGAGCAGGCCGGTTGTTTTGATTACACATGACAGTTACCAATATCCCATCATATTTCCGGGGGATCTGGTTTCAAAAGAGCATCATAGTTGATCCTGCTGTCGTACGAAGTAGTGCCTTTATGCACATAACCTTATGAAGTTCTGCCACTACAGCTAGTTTATTGGATTTACAAGCGCACCCCACGTTTTCTTTCTAATTTTACAGCTTCCAGAAATTTTAAATTTGAGTTAAAATATCTCTTAATAGCACCCTTGAAAAAGAAAAGTCAATTAAAGACATCAGCTTTGAAAATATTTGAAGTATAAGATCTGACAGCCTGAGGCATCGAGATGTAGTGATCGCCCATTAGTCACATGATCCACCAAAAACAGCTAGCGCAACTCAAGCGAGTTGGCCCGTGCCCTATTCCCCATTGGGGCAGCACACAACGCAAATTCCAACCCTAACTCCTGTCTCCGTTCTTAACGCCCAACGCCAGCGACCCTCGTCCCGTCAACAACCCCGTCAACTCCCAGGTCCCGCCTTTAAAACCTCAAGATGACTCACGAGAGCGTTTGGTACAGCCGGCCCCGCAAGTAAGTCGAAATTGCACCGCACACCACGCACTATCTCGAAAATGGACGACAAGCTAACCAGAATTTCTCTTCGCCCAATAGGTACGGCAAGGGCTCCCGCGAATGGTGTGTTTTCCCTAATACAATCCCCCGATGAACGATCCAGTCGACACCGAGAAAGAAGCTTGAAGGAAGCCTGGATGGGATCAAAAATCGATACAACAGGAACGGGCTTGCTAATATTTGTGCGCCTTCAGCCGTGTCTGCTCCCACCGCGCCGGTCTGATCCGCAAGTACGGCGTAAGGAGAAACCGATCCTTCGAGCATATTGCAAACTGCAATATGTGACGTGAATTGGACCTGTGTGGCTAATACGGATTATTTTAGATGAACATCTGCCGTCAGTGCTTCCGTGAGAAGTCCACCGACATCGGTTTCACCAAGGTTCGTTTCAATCCCTCGCTCGACAATTCTATCCGACCCCATTCGAATACCATGCAACCCCACCATCCGACTTCAAAATTCAATCGACAATCGACAAATTTGCCACTACCATCACCACACTTGCACATTGCAAAAGCACAACACTAACCAAGTTTCTCAACCTACAGTACCGCTAAGCGATCAAAAAAACTGACTCCCTCCTCTCGAACCGTTCGCATCCACGGAATCCATCTACGCACCCGGCTCGACTACGGTAGCGTCCAGTGGAGCAATGTTTCAGACGAGCTCAAAAATGGCGTCTTTGATGTTTTTGTGAATGGAGGAATAGACATCGGGCCTGCGTGTCCGGTGTCCCGGGGTTGCGAATTAAATCAAATCTTGGCTCCGAGGGGAGGATTTGGGGTTGTTGCGTGGAGTGTCTTGAAAAACGAGGATGTTCTGATATTTCCCTCATCCTGGTTTTTTCTTAACAATTTCAATGACGGAATTTTTTTCTCTGGGAATCGTTTCTCCTCCGGCTTGTCGTACAACTTGCTCGTGGTCTGGATGAAGGCGGACGTGCTGCTTGCACAGCTCTGCCTGTCTCTCCATTTGGTGTAGCTTTTGATGATTGGCTGAGTGAGCCTCTGAGGTGCACTGATGGTATATGAGCGTACGAATCTCGTAACGGCTCTAGATGTCACCAAATCGGATATGTCTGGACCCTCCTACTTCTAAGTATGTAGGCTATGGTGCCTTGGCTGGGTGGACAATCTAAATGACGGCTCATGCGTTGTAGGGCTCTATATGGCACCACTAGCAAGGCAGACAATCATTTTTCTACAAAGGGTGTTACTCTTCAATAAAACTAACATGTTTGCATGAACTTCATACCGATAGGGCGAACATGTGGTATACCTGGTTAATAGTACATTTTGCAGGTACATATCTACCGTCGGTATATTGTAGAGTGATGGGCCCGCCATGTACCATACTCCATGCTATGATTCTGATTCTTGGCGGCACTTTTATAGCTAACCAGTATCCTTCTAGATGTCTTTTTGGATGTCTCTTTATGATATCTTAGTCTCTTGTGGACACATTAACGGATGGACAGATATGGAGTCTTGTGGACATGGCTGCAGCGGAATCTACGCCGCCTCGAGCGATTGTTGACAGGGTCCTCAAATCAGAGCTCGGGCCTCTGCATATAGTTCCCGGATTTCTGCTCAACAATTTTTGGAGATGTCATTGGTCTTCAATCAGCATTCGAAGCTGTATTTAAAAGATGCACGGAAGATAACAATGCTCTTTTCGCCAATCGGTGGATAGGTTGACCAAAAGATGCAAATCAGGAGGATGCCTTGAGTTGGTTTGCAGATCTGAGCGAGAAACTGGCAATGTTGTCGACATACTACAATTCTGTGACGCACCTGCGAAGGCCACTAGCACAACCTAACATACTCATCCAGGGTTCCATATCAGAGCGCAAACTAGACATCGGCTTTGTGAAGGACACCAACGCTGGAAAGAACACCCGATGTCAGTGGTCGCAGATTCTGGTGCCTAGAGAGCTAAAAAGTAATCTGGCAGCTGACACCGACTCCAAGACATGGCTTGACTTAGGAAGGTATGCCAGGAAAGTCCTTGGGGCCCAAGATACCCGTCGATTTGTCCCGGGCTTTAGTATATGTGGATCCTTTATGAGGTTATGGGCCTTTGACCGTCTCGGGGGAGTCGTATCCGAACGGTTTGACATAAACGGGGATGGGCTCCAGTCTGTGTCCACTATTCTTGGTTTCCTATGGATGAGCGAGGAGGAATGTGGATTTGACCCTACGATCACCACCAGAGACGAAGGCATCCAGTAACCCATTGCCAAATCGAGGTTATCCAAGTGTCGTCCTGCACGACCATGGCAAACCAATTTACAAGGCAAGCACTCGATCCGCTCTGCTTTCTGCATTAGAAGGTTGTATTCCAGGACATCAGTCTTTGCAACAAGCAGGAATACTTCACCGAAATATCTTGATCCATGATATCTTGATCAACGAGGATGCAGAGAACCCTTCGTGGCCTCTGTTATTTGAACTTCATCTGGCTATCTGGCTATTAAAGAGCAGCAAGTCGATGTCTTGAGGGCAACCAGAAAGACTGACACGAGGGCCTTTATGGAAATGAGCGTGTCTCTGGGCGAGAAGCATTCTTTTATGCATGATCTTGATCTTCTGAATTTGCATCCACTACGATCGAGGCAGGGGAAGAGCCGTTGTAATATTTGACAAGTGGAACTTTGTGGATGCAGAGGAGTTAGGTGTTATGAAGAAAGCCGAGATATCCGACGAAGTAGATTTTCTGAGGTATACGAGTGAGTACTTCACAGAATAATACCGGCCACTAATGCCATGCGTCAACGCACTTTGGAGGGCGGTTTTTCCTAATGGAAAGAGATGTTGGGAGGAAGATACAGGGTTGTATGATCAGATAAAAAAAATCCTACGCGGCGCCCGAGAGGACTGATGTCTAATCATCCTTCTATAACACAAAGATATCCAAAAAAAAAGACTTCTCAAAAAACTCTTTATATGATATCTCTTCAATACCACAAGTCAAATATCTCAGGTTTTAATATAAAATATTGCGGAGAATTAGTCAATAACATGCTTAACCTTAGAAGCCGGCAACATTGATTGAAACTTATAAAATGCCCGATCTCCGACGTGCATCGGTCCTAGAAGGACTACTCCATAGGCGAGACAGTCACAAAATTTCGGGTATTAAAATGTTTCCCCCGTGACATTAGTAGGTTGAAGAGAGAAACACAGATCACATTCATTGCACAGGCCATCTGTGGAGTATCGAGTGCTAAAAACTCGGGAACGCTACTGAGGTAGCGGCTTAGCGTCTCGTACTTGTGCTTTTAGCTGGCCCCTATCTATGTCGTATTCGGTTGTATTTGTATCTATGCTGATCGCACGGGATCTCGAGGTATTCACATTGTGCTCATTGGTCCACTATGACCCCTGGGGAACGGCTAGATCAGAGCCGGAGTGCGGATAGCAGTTGTGCCGGACTTCCGATCACTCAGGCTTTCTCAGCTTGGCAATATCTCGGAGCTCTGGACGTGCCGAATGTTTGTTCTCAGTTGAAGATCAGAATCGTTCAGGAATAGGGGTCTATATTTGTTTCTGTATCACAAGGGCTGAGGGTTTTAGGTTGACAGTGGTTATTCACTACTGTACCCGTGGGCTCCATAGAAGTTGCTAGATTTAACATGGATTAAAAATCAAGACATGCAGAATGGCGCCAGGTCACACCGTCAGATTATACCCGAGTGCAGCCGCCATGAGTATGTGGACAGCCACGGCGTTAGGAGTATATGATAGTAAAAACCACCGATATTGTAAATCAAATGCATACAGCAGTTTAAGGCTAATGCGATGAGCAAGCATGAGTCATATGATAGCTCACGGGTGTCAACACGAGGTCGGCGACATATACGGTGTATACGGATACCTACAGCTCGGCGTTCGGATGTAAAGCGGAGTTTGCATTCCGGGCATAAAACTAACAGATTTGCAATTATTCAACGATCCTAGGGACGTGCAGGTGCGTGGTTGTAACATGCTAGACTTTTTTAGGTCCCCGGATGCTGACGGATGTTCACCAATCGCCAAGATGCCCGGTCTTAGCCCGACTTCTGTACTTTGCTTTGCTAGATGATGCGGGTAGAGGAATAGAATTCACCTCCGTACAAAGTACATTATAAAGAACATATTAAAGCGGGGGGCGTGTATGATATTGATGAAGTGCAAAGTCTGGACCAGGATGGGAGATACCACATGACATTATGCATCGGGTATGTGTTGAAATATTCGATTTCAGAGTGTATAAAGTTTGTGGTATCGGTGCAACCGACCAAGGTTAGCACATTCAGATTATTCACCTATACTACTTTTAGTCAACTACCTCAATATCACCTCTTTGGGTTACAAAGCGAGGTGCCGAACTTCCGCTCGAATTTCGTTCTGCCTTGTTGTATATCCGCAGAGTCCGGCCTTCGGTTTCCATACTATATACCCCCACCAAGATGGGGCCACCTCAAAAATACAGCTCGGATAAAGCGAGGGAAGCCAAGACAGGGATATGGAGTATGAAAGTACTTTGGGATTTAGTGCATATGATCCTGGTGATTGGAGGACAGAGCTAGGAGTGCACAATGCACCGTGGAAGTCAACCTGAGTATGTTGGGTTGAAAGCTAAGCAGGCTGACATGTTCATAGTTCTATCTATAGCCTAGGCATTATATGTCTACCTAGGGATCCGATATAAATATAAGAGAAAGCGAAGATCAGACCGTCCGAATAAGGTAACGATCGACTACGTCATTGACTAGGTTATATTTCTGTACATTACATATAGCATCATGCAGGTTTTACGCCCAAAAATTGGGGTTCTACGTAGTCATAGTTCCCATGAAGTCACCTCTAGAGAGGCTCCCGAGATACCCGAATAGAAGATTTCAACAAAAACAATGACTTCAATTTCTATTATCATTGTAGTTAAAAGGGCTAGAGAGTAAAAGGCCAAAATTGTACATCAAACTTTAAGCAGAAAATGAGGTAATACCGAATTTTGAAGCATATCGGCCCCGGGGGCCTTAGCTTCGTTCTTCCACGCACTTTTTTTCCCCCTCTCTATCTTTTTAAATCTTTTTTTTCTTAAAATTAAAAGCATTGGAAATCGTCGGCAAGCTCTTAATTTGAGCAAGTTTCCCGGCACTTCATTCCTGGCCCCGCTTGGACTTATATACTGCATCTCCTCCCGGAGTCTTATACTTCAGCCCTACAGCTTTCTCCAACTCCCATCGAACAGTCTAGTCCGTCGCCTGGTAAACCTGCTTAAAGAGACGACCTTAAAAAAAACTCAAATAAACACGGGTCTAGCTACCGGTTTGGCAGGTTCGCTACGTCACCATTCGATAGAGCTTCGACCCTAAGGTTGGAGCTCTATATCTCGAAACTACTTGCATTTTTGCACATACTCATTATCATTTCTTGCACTACCACATATATTCTTCCCAATGTGGCCTATAGCTACTCGGGTCGTATGGGCGGTAGCTTTCGCGCTGTTGCTCGCATCCCTTGCTACCGCACTTCCACATGATGAATCAATGGATATGGGAATGGATATGCACACGGTCACCAACGCGCCGCACCCTACACCCACTGCGACGCAAGTGAACACCGATGGTCCGATGAGCTATTTCGCATATAGCAAGCACTCCAGCGCCATTATAGCTCACATCGTCCTCATGGTTCTGGGCTGGTGCTTCATTCTTCCTGTTGGTAAGTCGCTCTTGTGTTGGGCTCTGAATGTGAAAAGAAAACGGACAACTGATCTCTTGAATAGCTGTCATGCTGAGCATCGCGCGCTCATGGCTCGCCCTTCCATCACAATTCCTCTTCCTGGCCTTCAACGCTCTCGGTGTCCTCCTTGGGTTTATCTATAACAGCCAGACGCCAGATCTCTACGAGAACAACGCACACCACAAAATCGGTTGGGTCGCGACGTGTGTTGTCAGCGCCCAGTTTATCCTGGCTTTGCTCTTTGCCTACGCTGGCCGCGGCAAGTCGGAGGCACCCTCTTATGAACATGCTGCGTTCTTCCCTGTCGCGACAGACGACCATGATACTGAGCATGCTTATCTCAACGGTGCGATGCGCGGGCATCGCTGGTCTCGCGACAGTGGTCAGGGCACGGATAGCAACTCTTCTATTCATAGTCCTGGGTCGTCGTCTTGTGAGTCGCCTGCCGAATACGATGGATTTGAAAAGCCCGACGAAGTGCTGGCAAAGGTTACCTCTCAACGCGGCTGGATTCATCACACGCGTGTTGGTCGCTTCCTGTCTCAGACTGTCCCTGGTCTGATCCCCAGCCGGGTCCTCCGCGTTTTGAATGTCGTGTATAACATCGTTGACCGTGTCATCCTTCCATTCGGATTTGCGGCCATTGCGAGTGGCGCTGTGACTTACGGTGGTATCATGAGAGGCCGTGAGATCTTCAACGGACTTGCGCACTTCATCAAGGGTGGCATCTTCTTCTGGTACGGTGTCCTGACACTTGGACGCTATATGGGTTGCTGGGCCGATCTGGGTTGGGCCTGGAACAAGAAGCCCTCTGCGTCTGTTGTTGGTTGGAAATCCAAGGTTCCCTCAGGTGAAGCTACAGAGTCGCTTGTCATTTTCCTATATGGCGCAACAAATGTTTTCCTTGAGCACCTCAACGGTTCGGGCAAAGGATGGTCTGCTACGGATCTCGAGCACGTTTCGATTTCCGTGCTCTTCTTCGGCGGCGGTCTGGTACGGTTTCATCTTGTTTTACGCTCTTTATAGGAATTAATCTGACTAACCTAAAAAAAAAAAATAGGCCGGTATGCTTTTCGAATCTGCGTGCGTCCGTCACTGGGTCAACAATACCATCATTCAACCCCCAGCTCAAGGTACCTCGGATGAAGCCTGGAGGCCGCCGAGGTCGCAGGGCGTTTCCTTGAACCCCATGCCAGCTCTCGTCATTATGTTGCTTGGCATGATGATGGGGTCGCACCACCAGGATAGCATGACATCGACGATGGTACACAAACAATGGGGTAATATGCTGGTTGGGTTTGCGTTGGCGCGCGGAATGACATACCTCCTGTTGTACCTCAAGCCACCGACCTCGTACCTCCCGGCTCGTCCCCCGACAGAGATCATTGCTGCATTCTGTCTGATCTCAGGAGGTCTGATCTTCATGTTGAGTGTAAGTTTACATCCACCCTTCATAAGCTTTACAACGTCACCCAAAAGCATGACTGACGTTGATCTAGACCCGCAATGTGATTCAAGCAATGGAGTACTACGAAGTGGACGCAATGTTCACTTTTACCGTCGGGTTGGGCTTCAGTGCTTTCATCATGGCTTATGAGATCTTGACCATTGCCCTCAAGGCCTTGGTTCTGAAGCGTGCTCAACGACCACGACCGAACTTCCGCTTCCAGTGAAGAATCCACGACAATTTTTTTTGATACCCCCTTTACACTTCTGAGGCTTTTTTTATGTTTCATGTTGGAATATACGGAGTCATTTGCTTGTGAATTCTTCAAGCGACATAATATTCCCTGCAGAGATACCCTGGAAAGGACAGTTGCTTGGACAACCTCGGACATGACGGATTAATATGGTAATAATGGCTGGGGATTGGTTCTTGCCCTATCTCCCAGATATATGCAGTACAGATGTTCGGAATATGCATTGTTTTCTCTTCAATCGATATGTATACGGAGTTAGTATGGTATTTCCGAGCCGTCGGCTTCAAAAGCGCCATGAGGGGCAAGTGGGGTCAGAAGGGAAGGAATTGAAGGGCCAGTCTGATTGGAAGAAAACGCGATCTAAAGGGCTCAGGTTGGACATTGTAGACCCCGAGGCCCCCCAATACATTTATAAGCAACCCCGGAACCCCTCTGGGCTATTAATTCAACACAAGTCAAATCTTCATTTTCACATTCTAGACCTTTTTAAATTAAAATGGCTTCCAACCCCCCCGCTGCCTGCTGTGCCTCTGGTTTCAAGCACGAAGGTACTCCCGCTGGCGAGACTAAGAATATCAATGGAGGTAAAACGAAAATGCCGCAATTGCAGAGGAAGCCCCGCCAGAGCAACCATTGTTAACCAAGCCATTCTCCAGTCGACACCTATATCGTCTACCCCAAGGGCAACAAGACCCCCGAGAAGGCCATTCTCTTCGTGACCGATATCTTCGGCATCTTTACCAATGCGCAGATCCTCGCCGACGAGTACGCCAACAATGGCTACCTGACCATTATCCCGGATCTTTTCCAGGGCGACAAGATCAGCGTCAGCGACATGGATACTGGCAAGGCCGACCTGCCCGCATGGCTCCCCAAACACCAGCCCGCGAACGTTGAGCCCGTGATTGAGTCGACTCTGAAGTATATCCGTGAGACTCTCGGCGTTAAGAAGGTCGGCGCTGTTGGCTACTGCTTCGGCGGTAAGGTATGTACTTATAGTCCACGATCTGAAGATCAAATCTCCGAAACAACGGAACCCCCCTGATGCTAATAATCTTTGGTTAGTACGTCTGCCGCTTCCTCAAGCCCGGCCAGGTTGATGTCGGTTACATCGCCCACCCCTCGTTCGTCACCCACGAGGAGCTTGGTGCCATCAAGGGCCCCCTGTCTATCGCCGCTGCCGGTAAGTTGGTGTTTGCTATCGGGTTGAAAAGAAGAAAGGCTAATTTCGCGTCTAACAGAGGTCGACTCGATCTTCACTACCCAGCTTCGCCACGAGTCCGAGGAGACTCTTATCAAGGCTGGTCAGCCGTGGCAGATCAACCTGTTCAGCGGTGTCAGTCACGGCTTCGGTGTGCGTGCCGATCTGAGCGACCCCAAGCAGAAGTGGGCTAAGGAGCAGGCCTTCTGCCAGGCTGTCGCCTGGTTCAACCAGTACCTGTAAATAAAGAGGATTTCGCATGTATATATAGTAGATAGCGATATCGAACACCATTTTATATCTGATGAATAGACTATTCTAACTAGTACAGAATAAATTTAGATAATTTATCGCCACTACTCAGGTACGCTCCAGCCCTGGAGGGCTACCCGGCGGTAGTTTACAGTTGCGCGGTTGGTCTTTATCGCGGAGCGTAACTTCGCGGACAAGTCGCTTTAATGGTCCGAGTAGTCTCCCTTGATCTTGCTCTCCAGATTTGATATTTCACATAGGTTGTTTCTTATCTTGACATTCGGAGTTTGACTCGTTCTCGGTTAGGTGTGGACTTCTTGTCTCTGTCTTTTCGATTCCGTCAGGGATCGCGTGTGCCTCGTGAGTTATCCCTGGGACCCGGAAATTCGACTAAGGAAACAGAAACTGATTGATCTTTTTTTCCAGTCATTAATTGTTAGATCCGCCATCTGACTCTTGAATACCTGTCTTTTTCTCATAACCGCTCCGACCGATAAATTCCTGTCCTTCAGAGTCGCGGTATATATCAACTTGCCAGCCCAACTCTACTCCGCCGCATCGAGTGATTTCGTCACTATATTCTATTCAAAAGTGATAGTAAACGGAATATCAGCAACGAACTATCATGGCGACCCCGGCCGCTTTACCCCCGTTGCCTTTCAATCCGGGTCGGATACGAACATACCTCCTCCGGCTACCGCTGTTCACCCGCCTGGTGCTGCTGATCATTCTGGCCTTCTGGCTGCTTGAATTCCAATCTGTGTGGGGTGTTATACAATGGGGTGCTTTGATTCCAGAGGAGATTAACCTGGGGACTAGTATGTTTGATCCCATCTTTGAAAGAGCATATTGGGCACATGCTAACTTAACGGTGTTATAGTGTACCGACTTAATACTTATCCCTTCATCCACACGGGCTTCTTCCATGCTTTCCTTAACGCTGCGGCACTCACGCCACTGCTGGAGCGCTTTGAGGCCGAGCATGGAACTTTGACTGCTATTGCGTTGTTCGTTGGACGTGAGTACTGTAATAAACCCCAAAGTGGCCATTTTAACTCATTTTGCATAATTTAGCTCTTTCGACTGTCCCTGCTGGTCTTTATATCTTGGTTGAGAGGTTTATTCTACACAGAAATACTTCGGTAGTCGGCGCAAGGTAAGCTTAGATCACCAGGGTTGGATGTTTCGATAACTGACCTTCAATCTAGCATCTGGGTTTTCCTGCTTCTCGGTTCGGAAGCCATCAAGACCTACAAGTCTAACCCCAACTTCACGTAAGATCCACTGGGGAATATAATACTCCAATCTTACTAACGCTCTTTAGTCTCGGCCCGTACAAGATTCCCACCTGGACTTCGCCCCTGTTCGCATGTATCGTTGTATCCATCCTCGTGTCGAACGTGAGCTTCCTCGGTCACCTCTGTGCGATTCTTGTTGGCTATCTCCGTGAGTTCCCTTCTCTGGCTTTCCCTTTTTCCACCGCTAATCGTCGTTAGTTGGCCTCGGATACCTCAAGGTGTTCGTGCCCCCTGAGAAGATCCTCCGCTTCATCGAGGGCAAGCTGAACCTCCTGGGACGCCTGCCTCACTATGTCTCTGTTGACCAGAAGACTTACGGTCGCTATGGAGTTCTTCCAACCACCAACCCCGCCGGCACCAACGGCAACCAAACACCCATGAGCTACTTGGGATCTACCCAGCGCCTTGGAGCCTGATCCCAGTATTGATGCATTCTTCATTTCCCATTTTAATGTACATTTTCCACTATAGTTTTTTATATTGTTGCAGATTTGGGGGGCAAGGAGGGGGGACATTGGATAATAGCATAGCGTGTGCATACTCCCATTTAATTTGCGCTGTTGGTCTTTATCGTTTGGTGTAAATTCCACTTCTCCGCGCATAAACAACGGGAGCTCTCGATCTCCACTGTTGACTGTAAGACTCCAAGTTCAGTCCAATTATTCCACTCATTTAACAGCTTCGCCTTCGCGGCACGGGAACTCGTGTCCCGATGGTCAATAGTAAATGGCGTTGAAATGTGAGACAACCTGGAATACCACCTGTCCTTCCTGGCAGCACCCGAACCCCCAAACTAACAAGGTGCCAGCTGCAATCCGCAACTTGCGGAATAACCCCAACCTCCTCTTCGTTCGCCTTCCGAATCTCCTATCCTTTATCTGCATTGTCGTCGGCATTGTCTGGCTACTTCTCCTTCCGTTGAACGAGTACTCCCGACAAACCTACATCTCCGAGAATGCGCTCCTGCCCGGCCAAGTCCATGCTTATTTCACGGGAAGTGAGCAGAACATCTTCCGTGGTTATAAGAAAGAATTGGAAGGATTGTTGAATGATGGACAAGCGAGAGGCGGCCAAAAAGACGAGGCGGAAGTGACAGCGGCGTACGTCGAATGAATCCAACACAGGATGGATTATTGGCTAATACTCAACAGGGTCTCGGACAAGTTGCAGTCAATTCTGCAAGCAGCGGGCCTTAAAGTTGCCACGCAAAAATACGAATACACATCCGCTGGGATTACGCACCAGGGAGAGAACACTTATGCTATTATCCACGCGCCGCGCGGTGATGCCACAGAGGCAATTGTGCTGGTTGCGCCATGGAAGACGGCTGATGATGAGTTAAACCTGAATGGTGTCACTCTTGCCCTGACATTGGCGAGATACTTCAAGAGTGGGTTTCGTCGTTGCGCTCCTCTAGTCGGTTACTGACTGTTGATGCTAGGATGGTCATTATGGTCCAAGGATATCATCTTCCTAATCACCCCGGACAGTAAAACTGGAACTCAAGCTTGGATCGATGCCTACCATGATATGCACCCGGCCTCGGTACAGCCACTTCCTTTAAAGAGTGGAGCGTTGCAAGGAGCACTGGTCATCGAATACCCCTTCGATCACCGGTTCCAGTCGCTCCATATTGTATATGATGGAGTCAATGGCCAACTCCCCAATCTCGACCTGTTCAACACTGCTGTAGCCATCGCAGGTGGCCAGATGGGTATCGGGGCCAATCTACAGGAAATGTGGGGTCACGACGATAGCTACGAGCATCGTCTGCAGACCATGTTCCGCGGTATGACCAAGCAGGGTCTCGGGTATGCCACCGGCGCACACAGTAGCTTCATGCCGTACCATATCGACGCTATCACTCTGCAGACCAAGGGCGAGGGATGGGAGGACGAAATGGCACTGGGCCGGACGATCGAATCTCTTTGCCGCAGCTTGAACAACTTGCTAGAGCACCTTCACCAGAGCTTTTTCTTCTACCTGCTCATGCAGTCCAACCGTTTTGTCAGCATCGGCACCTACTTGCCCAGTGCAATGTTGATCGCTGGAAATTTCACCATCATGGCAATTGCCCTCTGGATGCGCACTGGGTACTACCCAGAACCCAAGCCAAGTGACAAACCCAAGAACGAGAAGGCATCCGCCGAAGAGAAGCCCAAGACTACTAGCATCGCAGAACGACACCTTGCTCTACCACTCTCGCTTGTTGTCGGACTCCA